GTGTGTGAATACAGAAAGAATATGATAAAATGCAATGTTTACAGTAGATTTTAAAGAAAGTCTTTGGACCTTCATACTGCGGATAGTAATATGGTTGACAAGATTTTTATTATATGTGAAAAACCACTTGAAGACTCATTGCATTGTAAACATCAGTAGCTTTATCTCTGGGGTCATATTTTCAAGTTAATTATATTTCTGAAAATGTAGATGCAGAAGTTTCATGAATACAATGGTCAGTAAGACTGAAGTCTGAAATTTGATAAATGAATTGCATGCAAAATGTACTCCTCAGATTTGAAAAATGCAAAATGATATGCCTGATTCTATGCTACCATACCTCAGAATTGTTTTTCCTCGCTGCTTCATCTGTTCCTCAAACTACAAAGTCAAATGTAAGTGCTCAGGAAAGGAAAATGTCTATAGATTTAAGGTAAATAAACTTAATCCCAGAGGTCTAACACTAAAAGTTTAAGATCATTTTTAGTTTATTGTCATTTTTATTATTACTTATTCTCTTGGAGTTATTTGAAAAATTTAGAAGTCATTAAAAGGTGCAAAATTATTTATTTATTTATTTTTATGTATCTAGTACAGGGTCTACAGGGTCTTACTATACAGATCAGACTAGTAGTGATTCTCCTGTTTTCAGCTTCCCAAGCGCTGGGATTATAAGTGTGTGCTAACACACCAAGTCTCAGGCGCCCTCTCAGCCAGCGTGCCCCAGGAGCAGGGCCAGCATGGCAATCAGGAGATCAAACCCCAGTCTTCTGCCTAAGCAGGAACTTTAATCCACTGAGCTATCTGGCTGGCCCTAAGCTAGCTGACTAGCCCACAAAGTAATTTGTTTAAAATTTGCATTTTCCCCATTTTTCTCATTCTACATTAAATCTCTTTCTATATTTTCTTTTTATTTTTCTCTTCTCAGGTATAATATTTAAAAAAGATGAATGTTAATGTTGGGAAGATTTACAAATGGATCACAGAAAAAATGTTTAGTTGTAAACAGGATTGAAAAATATTTAGATACTTGCAAAAAAGTAGAGAACTGTGGGGAAAGAAACTTGAACATTAGGGAAAAAACAATGTAAAAGAATAAGGAAATAAAAGAAAAATTCTATTTAATATTGTTGTAGTCAGCTAAATTAGATAGAAATGTCATAGGCAGTCAGACAGGGCCAAGCCTTCAAGGAGGCAATGTGGAAGACAGGGTGACTGTGCAACTTTGAAGAAACCGATACTCTCGCTGTGGGCCAGACCTCAAGATGAAAGAGTAAACAAACACAGCCACATACTTCCCTAGGGATGGGCATCAGGGATTGATATTCTAAATAGGTATCCATCACCTTAAATGAGTACTGAAGAATCACTAACCCAACCCCCAACAGGAAGAGACACGGTCCCGATTCATGCCAGCTTGCTATGGACAGGCTTCCTCATTTGGTCTTTTGGGTTTTTTTGTGGTACTGGGGATTGAACTCAGGACCTTAGGCTTGCCAGGCAGGCGCTTATGCCCTTGAGCTATCTCCCCAGCAAATCACTTCCTCATTTGGTACTGGATTTAATCAATTTTACCTGAGCAATGGTATTTGTTAGTTGACCATAGCTTTATCCCATCTCATGCACACTTAAGTGAGTTCCCATATTCTCCACCTTAGACCTGCCTTGTCACATATTTTACAGTAGAAAAGTCCCTCGAAGAGACAGCTTTCCGGGGACCACCCACTTGGGGTCCCCCTTCTGTCTTCATGGACAGGAGCTTTCTTTCCCACAATAAATATATTCTGCTCATAAACTCCATTTGTTCCTAAAATTCATTCTTTGGTTTTAAAGAGCACAAACTCATCCAGGTACCTTTCAGGTCAGGAGTTTCATTTTTCCCCCATATCATTTGGAAGTCATCCACCTGAGATAATTTTTTTCCCCTATATCAATATCAATTTGAAAGCAGCACAGGGGCCAAGGGTTTAATCCCTGGGATTGCCATGCTGGTCCTGCCCCTAGGGCAGGCTGGGATGGCAATTGAGACTAGGCATGGTGGCACAAGGCTGTAACCCCAGCACTTGGGAGGCTGTAAACAGGAGAATCACTAGGAGTCTGATCTAGTAGTGAGACCCTGAACATCCTGTAGACCCCTTTATAAAATTAAAAAAAAAATCAATATGAACAAATACATTTTGATACATAAATAGATCTTAAATTGCTTGATTCTTGTGGAAAAGAAGAACATTTAAGAATTTATGTTCACTTAGAAACCTCATATTGCAATAGATCACTTGTAAAAAATATTTTTAAGAGTCAAAAAGCAGCTGGCATGAGTTCCTCATAAATTAATTATAAGTGATATTTTTGAACGTTGAAAGCTTGAAACGTTTTAGAGCCTTTCTCATGCAAGATGTGGTACTGATACAGGGAACCTCCAAAATGACACAAGGAAAAAAACTGATGTCAGGTGAATGACCTCCAAATGATACAGGGGAAAAATGATCTCCCAAACACAAAAGTACCTGGGATGAGTTCATGTTCTCTAAAACCAAAGAATGAATTTTAGGAATGGAGTTTATAAGCAGAATAGTTTTATTGGGAGAAAGAAAGCTCCTGCCAAAGAGACAGACAGGAGGCGCCCCTAAGCGGGTGGCCCCCAGGAAACTGTCTCTTCCAGGGACTTTTATAGAGGAAAACCATGTGGTGAGGCAGGTCTAAGGTGGTGGAGAACATGGGAACTGTAGTCAACCAACGAGATTACAAACACCATTGCTCAGGTAAAGTGGATTAAATCCAGTACCAAATGGGGAAGGGAGTTACTTAGCAAGCAGGCATGATTATGGGACAGGGTCTCTTCCTGTTGGGGGTTGGGCTAGTGACTCATTTGGGCTCTTTCAAGGTGATTAGTACCTATTTAGAGTGTCAATCCCTGATGCCCATCCCTAGGTAAGTATGTAGCTGTGTTTCCCCTTTTTTCTTAGTCTTGAAATCTGGCCCAGCGTTGTAGTGTGTGTCTCTTCCAAGTTGCAAAGTCACCTTGTCTTCCATCTTGTCTCCTGGAGGGCCTGTCCCTGTCTGAGTGCCTATAATATTTTTATCTAATTCAGCTGCCTACAACAGTACTAGAAATGAATTGATTTACTAATTATTTTATTCACTAATTACTTAAACCATGTTGCCCTCTAGAGTACCTAAGGTTTAGAAAATCATCAGCTATTCCTTTAAACACACACGGAGAGACCTCACTCACTATTTTATCAATACCCTGATAAATGTCCAATGATAATATTCCCAGTAACACTGCTGCCTGAATGCAACACTTTTCTGTTAAAAAGAACTGACTCATGAAGGTGCCCATCACAGGAATATGTATTTGCAATCAAATCATTTGAATTCTGAGTCTTTGTAATTAGTATTTATGATAAATAAGTCAGATTGCTACATAATTATTATAGCAGTGCTCACAGGCTATAGAAGTCAGTGTACTCTTCTAAAAATCAGAAAGAATTCTGTAATAGTCATCAAAGAGATACAGTCATGAAATTATCAGGGACTGCCACAGGGAGGGTGGAGGACAGGCTCCTGGGCCCTTACCTGCTACTTATTGAATGTAGGCTGTGTTTTCTTCTCAGAAGGTTAAGGATTTAAAAACCACTTTTGTTGTGGAAATGGGCCTATAACTGCCCAATAGATAACTAAGAACAACAAAACTTGACTTTCATTTTGCTTCTTTTGATACTGTAGATCTTGGGTGAAATCCCTCCTAAAATCCTTCTAGCAGCCTGCTAATCTTTCAGGGAGTGTCTGTTTAGGGAAGGGGTTGGTTAGTCCTGAGTTTGTATGATCTCATCTCTCTTCAAGACAGAGGACATCAAAAGAAAAAGTTTACAGGGATTTTCAGTTATCCTCAGAAGGTAGGAGCTATGGTCCTAAATCTATGGCCCATTACCCAGATTCCAGGAAAGACAGCCCTATTTAATTGAGATGACCAAAACTGAAGAGATCTAAAAAGAGAACATCTCTCAGCAATAAGAGGAAGGACTCCAGATCGGACAGCAGAACTGAGGTAGTGATCACTCACACCTAGGCAGAAGGCTAATACATGAAAGGGTCAATCCCTGCTTTGCAAGTGAGCAGGTGTAAATCCTGGTGTGCCCTTCCAGTAGCTACTTAATTGGAGAGCTTCCTTATTTTCTCTTTAACTTTCCCATTTTTTTCCCTATAATTTGTGCTTCAGTTTTAATTTTGATTTCTAACAAAGCAAGGACCCACGCTAGCCAGCCCAGTAACATCACTGAGTTACACAGGAACGGCATGGTTAAGTGCCATAGGAACACATTATTTCAGAGAAATGCTAATTCTACTGAGCTTGCCACGGCCTCAATTTTTTGTTTGTTTGTTTGTTTGTTTGTTTTGTTTTGTGGAACCAGGGATGGAGCTCAGGCCCTTGCACTTGCCAGGGAAGTGCTTATTCGACTGAGCCATCTCCCTTGCCCCCACGTTATTTCTATTGTGGCATAGCAATTAAATGGGTCACTGTGTAACAAAACATGAAGAAAAAAAGAGATCATTGTATGCAATGTATTACACAAGTGCATCTATGCAATAAATTTTTTCTCTCAGATAGTAAACTTTGGGAAGAATATTTCCAAAAGAATACACATTCATCTCTCCCTCTACTTCCGAAGAACAAAACTCTTCCTGTATTCTAAATTCACCAAATCCATACAGCAGACTTCACTAAGATGGATATTCACAAAGTGATTAGATCCTGGTAAATTAAATCTCTATGGAATTCCCAAATTAAGGAAGATTAGCAAAGACACAGTATGTTATGGAACATTACCATCTCTGATTATTTTATTCCATGCAGCTGAGTATGGCTATTATTCATTTTCAGGGCTGAAGCGAGAGGACAGACTTCTGACCTGATGTCATTTTCAGTTGTTTGGGTCAATGTAGACTAGAGCGATTTTAGACTTTCTGTGTTTTAAGTGTCTGGGTAATGTACTTACTGCAGTTCTCTGCTTTTCTATTGTCCCGAATCACTATTCTTTGGTTGACCGTGCTGAAGAGTGTTGTCCAGTTAATGGTGTGATAATAACATAGGTTGCTGTTGTCGGTGATGTAGATGTTTCCTGCACTGATTTCCTTCAAGGACTGAAACTGCAGCGAGGTGATACCTTGTTGCTTGAGGATCAGTAAGGAGAGGCCACTGGGGAAGAAAAGGGGAAAAGTGGAACAGAAATATGTATCACCTGGTCATAACATGCGCTTCTAAATTAAAGTAAGGGTGCTGTATCTCACTCTAAAAAAATGTGGATATAATATAAACAGAGATTGAAACAATACATCTGTATAAGAATAGCATGTTTATATTTATTTGTCAAATAGTTTCAGTTGTAATAATTTAATTCCTATACCCAAAATCATTTAATAGGATTATGGATAGGACAGTATATGTTCATCTTACTTAATTTACCACTAAAATATCTAGTCAATGTCTTCCATCATGTAGCATAAATTATAGCCTCTTCAAAGACAAAGTCTCATATTGGCCAAATAAATATTTATACAGTGATTTCTTTTCTCTCATAACTCAGACACTGATTATATTTTGTGATACTTTTACTGAATAGATGCAGCAGATACTGACTGTGGCTAGTTAGTTTTATGGCTCAGGAATCAAAAAATTATTATAGTTAAAGAATTTAGGGCCAGCCAGTTAGCTCAGCAGATTAAAGTGCCTGCTTAGGCAGACACAGAGGTCAGGAGTTTGATCCTTTGTGTGCTGTGTCAGCCCCCTGGGCACACTGAGAAGGAGATTGAGACTGGGCGTGGTGGCACTCGCCTGTAATCCCAGCACTCGAGAGTCTGAAAGACCAGGAAGGCTCACTACAAGTCTGGTCTGCATAGTGAGACCCTGCAGACCATGTACTAAATACATTTAAAAAAAATTTGTAAGAAAGATTATGACAAATTAAAAATATAAGAGAATTAAATTAATGTCCTACTGTGAAGGCTTAGACAACTGGGGAAATTTCTAAAAGTTAAAGAACAAGTACTCCTTTTAAATGATCATTTCAAAGAAATTGCTTTTATTTCATCATAGTCTATATTATTGTAAATAAATAAGTAAATATATATACATATACACACACACATATATATATTACAGTGGTACAGTGTCTCACTACATAGCTCTGACTCATAGTGATCCTCCTGTTTTCAGCCTCCCCAGCAGCACTAGGATTGCAGGCATGCACCACCATGCCCAGTCTCTGTGGCCAGCTCAGGGTGCCCTTGGTTCGGGGTTGGGGCTGGTGTAGCAGGTGTTGCCAGGAATTGAACCCCAGTCCATATGCTTGCCTAAGCAGGCACTTAGTCCCCTGAGCTATCCCACCAGTCCTTGTAATTATATTTTGATGCCCTAAGGAATATTTTCAGTGATTCCACCTTTCAGTCAACTAATGAATATTATTTTTTGTTTTTCAGATCAAAATTCTCCTTTTCACTATTAAGTATACTTTCCTTTTAGTATTCAGAATATTTTTAACCCTATACTTTTTAGTTCTTATGTTTTATTATTATTTTTAATAATTTAAAATATATGGGGTTGGGCTGGTGAGATGGCTCAGTGGTCTAAAGCATCTACTTAGAACAAGCTTAGCAAAGCACAGGGACCACGGTTCAATCCCCTAGCACCACATGCCAGCCAGCCCCGCCCCCTGGTGGGCTGAGCTGGCCACACATACACACAAACACACACACACACACACACACACACACGTAAATAAATAAATAAAATAAAAAAATAAAATATATGGGGTCTAATGATAAAAATTGAAATGTAATTTATTCTTTCAAATTTTCGTTCCCATCATAACTACCTGGTTTTGTTGTTAGGACACCAATGCCTTGATTAACTTATGTTTTTGATGAATTTATAAAATTTTTAGGGAATGGTAAAAGTTGTTACCATTTAGCACTTCAATACAGTGTGTCTCTTATTTTATAGTAAGCTAATTAGTTAAAATACTATAGGCAGTCAGACAAGGATAGGCCCCCAACAGTGTCAGGGCACAGGATGAAAATACAACTGTGGCTGGAAGGGAGTGTGTTGAAAGCCAAGTTTTAAGATAAGGACAGAATGACCAGGTCTACATGCCTCCCAAAGGAAAATCAATGTACTATAATTGGTGTTACCTGATCCAGTGAAGACTAGATCAACACCAATTGCCATAATGAGAATATCCCAATTCATCGCTTCTTGGAAAGGTTTTTGCTCTTCCCTATACACTTACAATGTGACCTTTCCCACCAGATCAGTCTTACTTAAGCAGCTCTACAGGTAATATTGATTGGTCATAGTTTTGACCTTGTCAACCTTGTACCCATGTTGTTATTTTGCTCTATGAACCTTCCTCTGTGAAGTAGGGTACACAGCAACCCACTTTCAGATTTCCTCCTGTCTCTCAGGAGCTATCTCTCTAAATAAATATCTCTTACTCTTAACTTCCACTGTTCCTTAGAATTCATTCTTCAATTTGGGTGAATACAAACTCTATTTTCCCTATATGATTCTTACTTAAGTGGCTTATTCCCCCCTTACCTTTAAAAAATTGCCATTATTTATATATTTTAGATTTTAATCATAAAATTCAATATACTTTCTAAAAGTCCTTACAACATATTCAATAGTAGCAAAATGTTTACATACTTTCCAAATACAAGCAGAAACTTTAACTAAAAATATTTGTGTGTACATCAACTTCATTCATGAGTAAAAACTTTATGCAAAGGGATTCTAAAATAAGCCTAAAAGCATAGTGGTTTTATAAAGACTGTTATTTATTTTTAGTGCATGAATTTAAAATACAAAGAAACTTTATAACAATGTCCTTGCAGCTCTATTTTTTCTGACCATTTATTAACCAATGAAACATGAGCCCTGTGAAGCATGGTTCAAATGGCAGCACCAGAGAAGCACACAGAATCTTCTGGAGGATCAACATTTATATCCCACATGCCTGAAATGTTACCAAATCATCCAACTCTGTCTTTAGTACTAACAACATGAAATCAAACATAAGGTTTAATTATATGGCTCACATCATTCTTTCCATACCTGTGAAACACTAATATTAGGTGATAAGCATTTGGAAAATCAAAACGCATACTCATGTACTACATTTCATCATGATATGTTTTTGTTAAGCTTTGAAGTAAAGGCAGAAACATATTTCCAGAAGCAGAAAAATCAATAAGATTGATCATCTTGACTTTATGTAGACATGAGTCTCTTTTTAGAATCTGAGTCAGCAGCAGGTGTAAACATTCATACCCACCTGTAGAGGACTCGGCCACCAATGGTCACCAGGTTCGAGAACACGCTGAAATCAGTCATGTTTGGAGGCCATGATTGTATGTTCAAGAAACCTAGAGTGATAGAGACAGTATGACTAAATAAGATCATCATGGCCTTAGAAATAGTATTATTTATTCTTAAATATGGTGAAAATATATTCAAAGACGTGAGAGGAAATCAAATAGCATTGAACATTTACACTGTTGAAGGATTCTATCACATATTTATACTTTCAAGACTGACTACCATAATACAAGTTCCTGGGGAAAAATAAATAAGTGGCATCAAAATTACAGCTCCAAGAATACTAACTTCTCAGACAAATGGAATCATAAAAATATATATTCAAATTTTTTAATGACTCTGTTCTAATGAATGTAAAATGCAGTGTAAGAAGAAAAATATCATTTCCATTTCTCTGAAATTGTTCGTTATTTTCTTTGTTTTTTATGATATCAGTATTTATTTTGCCTTCTATTTCATTTATTCATATATTTATTCTTCCTGATTAGATTTTATACTGTTCAATGGTAACTCCATGTCTGATTCATTTCTACTGGGTTCGATAACACATATTACCATATTCTTGAAGATATTGGAAACTCAATAAATATGCACTAAGAAAATGCCACATGCTCTTTCTCAGAAATAGTAAAACTTAGCCTCAAAGATCAGAAATTAAAGAGTTTGAGGAGTAATAGAATTAGCTCTTTAAAACTTTCAGCAGTGTATCCATCAAGGTCTAGCTATTTTTATTGGTAAGTTTTAAATACATTTTCAGTTTCATTGACTGCAATTTAGTTATTTATAATTTTCATATCCCTTTGGAATCTGTCCATTTCTTCTTTTGTCCATCAAATTAGAGTAAAAGTACTCCTAAATAAGTATTGATGATATTATCGATTTCCACATGATTTCTTGTAATTTCACCCTTTTTGTTCTTAACTGAATGTCAAAAGGTTTATCAATTTTATTGAATCTTTCAAAGAACCAATTCTATGATTCATTATATTATTTTCTCAGTGTCAACTGCATTCATGTCTGTTCTGATATTTATAATTTCCTCCCTTCTACAAACTTTGGCCTTGACTTGTTCTTCATTTTCTTGAAGTCTGAGGCTCAAGAATAGGTGTTTTATTTTATCTCTGTCTGTTTTCCTGATATTAAAATTCACTGCTATAAATTTTCCTCTCAGGACTAGTATCATGGCATTTTGTCAATATCATTTAATTGTAGATCCTCTTTAATGAAATGGAAAAGGAGGCCATACTCCTAACATCTTTACAGAAAGCAAGGATTCTCTTAGTATCAAAATGGGAGAAGGACTCAACCAAAGAAGAAAACTACAAACTAAGCTCCTTAATGAAAGACACAAAATTCCTCAACAATATACTGACAAACAGAATGTAGTAAATCATCAGAATCATAAGCCACAAACAAGTAGGATTCATCCCAGAGATATAGGGATGGCTTGACCTATGCAAATCAATAAATGCAATCTACCATATTAACAGAGTCAAAGATAAAATTCACATCATCATCTCAATAGATGCAGTAAAACAATTTGACGAAGTCCAACACCCATTCATGATTAAAAAACCCAGAAAATTGTAAGAAATGGTCTTTATCTCAGTATGATAAAAACTACCTATGACAGACCAATGGCCAACATAATACTAAATGCTCAAAAAACTGTAAGCTTTCATTCTAAAATCAGGAAAGACAAGAATGTCCACTGTATCACTCCTATTCAATATAGCTCTGGAAGCATTCATCAGAGCAATTAAGAAAGAGGAAGAAATAAAAGGAATAAGAATAGGCAAGGAAGAATTTAAATTGCTGTTATTTGCAGATGACACAGTACTCTACATAGAAGACCTCAAAACTCCAACAAGTCTTCTAAATTTAACAATCACAATCAGTCACATAACAGAATACAAAATCACATTCAAGAATCAATAGCACACAAATAATAAACTCAGTGAAAGATAAGTTATGGAAGCAACCCCTCTCACAATACTATCAAAAAAATGAAATAGGAATTCCATGTAACAAAAGATATTCATACCTAAAACTACAGTACTCTGAAAAAGGGGATCAAGCAGCATATAAGAAGATGGAACTAATATTGGGTAGCAAAACCCAAAATAATGAAAATAACCATACTTCCAACCATTAGTGAACCTCACAGAGCTAGAAAAAATATTCATAAAATGTATTTCTAACCAAAAGAGACCTGGGACAGCAAAATTAATTTTTGCAACAAAGGCATGGCAAGAGGCATCACAATTCCTAACTAGAAAGTATACTTCAGAGGTACAGTGATTAAAACAGAATGGTTCTGTCAAAATAATAGACTTGAGGATCAATGGAATAGACTACAACATGCAAAAATAGCCCCAAACACACTTAGTCACTGTTTTATCTTTGAAAAAAGGGTCAAACATGTTCACTGAAAGAAAGTTAGCTTCTTTAATAAATGGTCCTAGTAAAACTGGCTTTCCACATGCCAAAGACTAAAACTGGCTGCCTGTCTGTCACCAGGCATTGAACTGAAGTAAAAATGGATCAAAGATATAACTATGAAAGAGAAACATGAAATTTTTTGGAGAATAAAATAGGTTGAACTCTTGACAACATAGGTGTAGGCAAATTTCATGATCAAAACCCTTATTGCATGGGAAATAATACAAAGAGATACATAACTGGGATCTCATCTTATTAAAAAGATTTTGCAGGCTGGGGAGATAGTTCAGCAGCATAAGTGACTGCCTGGCAAGTGCAAGATCCTGAGTTTGATCCCCAGTACAATAAATAAATAAATAAATAAATAAATAAATAAATAAAATAAAACAAAACAAAACAAAAAAATCTTTGTATAGCAAAAGAAGTCACCAACAGAATTCAACCCATCCAGTGAGCAAACATTTTAGCCAGTTGTTCATTAGACAAATACTAATATCTTCTTTAAACACTAATATCTGGATTGTAGAAAACATTGAAAAAAGGGGCCGGGGAGATGGCTCAGTAGACTAAGTGCTTCCCTGGCAAACTCAAGGGCCTGATTTCAATACCTGGTCCTGCAAAAAAAAAAAAAAAATCAGACCCACTCCAAATGCGAAGACCCAATCCAAAAATGGGTCTCTTAGATGAATACGCATTTCTCAGAAGAAGAAATACAAATAAATGTACAAAAAGTGTTCAACATTACTGGACATTCAAGAGAAGCAAATAGAACAGTGCTCAGATGCCATCTCACCCTAGAAAGGCTGTCACCAAGAAATCAGTGTAACAAACGCTGGTGGGGATGTAGGAGAAAGGAACCCTTCTGCACTATCAGTTAAGTACAGACTATTGAAACCACTGTGGAAATCCATGCAGAGATTTCTCAAAAAAGAAAAGAAACAAAACAAAACTAGCGATTCCATTTGGCTCATCTATTCCCCTTCTTGGAATCTTCCTAAAAGAAGTAAAAGCATCATATCACAAGGATATGTTTATAGCAGCATAGGTTGTTACAGCAAAATATTGGAAACAGCCCAAATACCCATCACCTGGTGAATGGATAAAGATATTCTATTTCTTTATATAATGCAGTACTCTTCATCCATAAAGAAGTATAAACTTTTTTAAAAAAGTGATAAACTGGAGACATATAGATAAATAGATGTACCTTGAAACCATACTCTTAAGTGAAACAAATCAGACACACATGTATATAAATATCAAATTCGTTCTGTGTGAGAAGCAGAAAGTAGAAATAAGAACCAAGATGTGTAATAGATATTGTAAAATAGGAAGAAATGGTTCAAGTAGGGAGGGAAACTATGGAAAGAGAAGGGGAAAGCAAGGAAGAGAAAAGAAAAATAAATGAGAAAAGAAGGATAAAATGGAAAACAAAACTTTTGCACACAGGAAGAGAAGAGAGTTTTAAGACAGAGTAGGGGAATGGGATAAAATGAGAAATCAAGATACATCATGTGCAGGTACAAGTTCCCCACGATGAATCTGATATTATGTATATTTAAATTTTATCTTGAACTTAATAATAATAAAAAGAATAATGCAAGATCCTAGATTATTTGACACTTGTTAATACTGTATTTACAAAATTCAAGTAATATTTAGTTTTGTAATTCAACAACCTTTCAAAATCTACACAAAAGCTAAAGTGTAAGATACTTTTTTCATAATAATGTTTGTACAAACTAAAAATTGCTTTGAAAATAAGTTGCTGGCACTAATGTTATTCAATACTTTCAGGAAAACACTAAACTGGCAAAGTGTGGGGTGTATAGATTATACTTTAAAAAGTACCTGTTATCTCTCTGACTGTCCGAAACACATTCAGTTTCTCTGGGTCGATAGCTCCAACTGCATTGTATGGGTCCCTAAAAAACAAAGATGAGATTCAGCCAAATTTTAGAATCTGAGAAAAGAGATCGTAGTTACTTCATTAAATTGAATTTTAATTTAGAGTAGGAAACTTAACAAGGTATCATCCAAACTTTTCATGCTACATTTAGAAGGGACTTAATAGGTGCTTTTTAGAATTTTGATGACACAGGATGTAAATTCTTTATCCAGTGTGATTCTAAATGTATAGAATCAGTCCCATTTCAATCATCCTGACAAACAATACAAACACAGCAAGTCTATGAATGTGCTGTTCTATGTTGTTTGACCTTTAAAGGTTTATCTTTAATCAGGAAGAATATGTTCTGAAAATAAACAGCATCATGATAAGAAAAACTGGTTTTGGGGCTCTCCTCAGGCAGTATAAGTTGCAAGTGGCACTTGTAAGTCATAAATAGGACAGAAAGAAGCACAGGTGAAGCCTGATTATATTTAGGTCTCCATTTGTGAATATCCCTAATATTGCATGAATTCGGTCTTCAGATGACTTTAGAATCATTTGGTGCCTCTCTGCCTGATTTACGGTGATCAATGTAACACAAAAACAAATTTGCTTCCATCTCAGTGAATTATACCAACTTTAAAAAAAAGTATAGAAAATTTTATAAAACTCAAAAGATATAAATATTGTAGTTTTTTCAAATAACATCTCTCAAAGCATAAACACACTGTTGTGATATATTGATACAAAGATACTTTAAAATGAACAAAATTTTCTTTTTATTTTTGTGCTACTAGGATTCCATCCCAGGAACCTAACCCTAACACTGAGTTACACTCCCAAGCCCTCTCCCTCCCTTCCCCCTCCAATATCAAAATCTTCTCAGTATGTAAACCATCATTTTAAGGAGTACACAGTACTTCTTAAACGTATTATTAGATTAGAATACTTTCCTGGAGAATATCAGACTTCATATTAATGTCTACCTTTTATATGCAGATGACATTTTGTACATTGACTACTTTCCCAGTAGAGATTAAGCCTACTAAAAACAACAAAATTTGGTATATTTTTTAGGAGTTTCTATTTAGCTGTAGAATTCAAATGAGTTGTATCCTTCCTATGAACATATATTCCTTATTAGTATGTGAGAACTCACTTTTTTGAAATGGGAAATAAATATAGATACAGTGAGCCCTTAGATACAATCTTCATAGGAGCCATTCTACGAGTCAAGGTCATCCACATCTCTTGACAAACTGCCTATACAGAGTTTGTATCTGGGGAACTTCATTCTCAAATTACGGGGAATTTTTTTTCTTTTCAATTCAGTATGAGAATCTTGAAATGACTGAGCTGATATCTAGGATGACCTGATCCTGAGTATCTGGACTTGGCTCATGGACATATTGTATAATGTGAATGATCTCACTTCCTAAAAAATTTTGCTTGGTTATTTTTTTAAAATAAGAAGCAGATCCCACATGATGTGCAGCAGGTTCATCCTGGAATGCAGCAGAAAGCTCAACCACTGGACACTGTTGAAACCGGGGAAACGCTGTGACACACACTTTGACCATCGTCAATCGGAATTTGTTTCAATGTTAAATGAACATCTCATGAAAGCTGAAAATCTAAATTAAATGTTAGAGCAAATTTGCCATGTTTATAAATAAATATATAAGAAATGTGTTACTATGCTTTTGGTGACCATGAAGCAAACCATATAGGAAAGTTCTTCCTCTTCTATTTTAAATGTATTTAGTACAGGGTCTACAGGGTCTCACTACACATTTCAGATTCGTAGTGATCTTCCTGTTTTTCAGCCTCCCAAGTGCTGGGATTACAGGTGTGTGCCACTATGCCCAGTTTCAATCTTGTTCTCAGCACACCCTGGGGGTGGGGCTGGCATGGCCTGATAGGGATCAAACCCTGGCCCCTGAGCTCTGCCTAAGCAGGCTCCTTAGTCCCACTGAGCTGCCTCGCCGGCCCTGGAAAGCTCTTCTTGTGCTCATATTTTAATATTCAAAAAGTTTTGTAAGCACACAAAGGTGCTGCAGGAGGAAAAGGAGATTTTGACATTTGTTTGTTGATGAAAAGCAGGATGTAGAACAGCTCTGACCATATAATCAAATATGCTGGCTTTATGGAAAACAACTCACCAGTTACAGCAAGCACATAATAGTGGAGCCAGTACAAACATTTACTGTAAACCATTCCAAGCTGCCAGAATAAAACAAAGTCTGGACTTTTATCATAAAGCCCAATGCCCTACAGAAATTATATACTTAATTTTTGGGACTTAGGACTCATAAAATAAGCTGACAGAATTCCCTGTACCAACTTTAAAGTACCCCTTGGGAGTTTCAGCCCACTGCCACTCAAAATCCACAATAGTTTAAGAATTGAGAACTTTGCTGCCTACATTCAGAGCCACGCAAATGAGCGTTCTGCCTACCATGTCGCCACATTCAGTCATACAAACGAAGTTCAGGACACAGTGAAAGAACATACTTTGCAAACTTCACTGACACTGCTTTGTTTGATCTCTAAACATATTATCTTTCACCAACTGGCCATCACCCCTGCGCCTACCCATCAGCATCTCCTCACCAGTGCCATACGGTGGCCCAGCATCAGCGTGCGTACTGGGTAAGCGCTTCATCACTCTAAGAACAAGCATGAGAATGATGTCGCACATCACAAGTCATGGGGGACACTGCTATAACTTTAAACAGTAACCTTTTCCTGAAGATCCTATTTAAAATAAAGAAACAAGCGCCTATTTCTGTTTCTGACCATGGGACTTTCATACCAATGATTTCAGCCTTTTCATATGTTGAAATTGTGCTTAGCAAAGTGATGGAGAATTTCTTTCCTGCAGGACGTTATTTCATTTAGTTACCTTTTTTAGTATTTGTTTTAACACAATCTCAGCTATTTTTTTTCTTTTTCTTTTATTTTATTTTCATTTTTTAATTTATTGACATCAGTTATTTTTATTTTAAAGAA